AAATCGAACGATTTCTGGTTTCTAATGCGAGATAGATATTTAATAATAAAATATTAAATACGTCAACCTTGACATAAGTAAGATTTTTAGTGGAAGTGTAGATGAATTGTTTCATACAGATTAACTATTTTACACATATATAGTCATGGATACATATGGAGTAGATAAACATGTACAATTTCCGGTGCGCGATATAAACCATTTCATTATGAAATATTACATTTGACATTGTAATGAAAAAGTCAATATAGGATAAATTTATATATTTTGGTATTGTTAATCTCGCGGGAGTCCGAAATTAAAATGTATACTTAGAGTAATATACTTATACATGGAGTTATTTTTTTGACCCATTTGTTTAAGTTTAAGATATATGGTTATACATATAAACTATAGTCACGCAAATATTCAAGTTTATTTACAATTAATTTTTTGTACAAATTATACAATATTCAACGCAATAATCATATCGTTGTCTCAGTTCAAGACTGTAATAACTCAAAAAACTATTATTGAGATATCGACGCCTAAGTTAAAGACAGCAATAACTCAAAAATATTCAGAATTGAGTTATCTACGTGATATTATTTGCAAAATTACGACGATTTCGATTCTACTCGTATAATGTAATAACTTTTAGTTACATTATTCGCCTTTAGAGGTCGTTTATTTCATTCTAGAATCAGTAGTTTCATAATTTGAGTTATTGCAGTCTTGAACTGAGGCGCAATATAATGATTTCATTGAAATTAAAACGGCACATTTACACGGGTAAAACATTCGTAAAATTTAGGCTTTTATGACACATGATTATATAACGTGTTTACGTACGGGAAAATTTAAAAATATGCAATTTAAAGTTCAATAGTTTCCAGCCGATGGATTGCCATAAAAATGTACGATTATTTTAATGCTACATAACCTGTTTTTCAATAAAAACAAAGTACATGCAATATTCATATTACATTTATAATAAATGTTCAAGTAAATGTATATATGTACTACCTTTGTCTTAACTTGGAGTATTATTTTATTTTTTATTAGAAATTGATCAATATTTTATGTATAGCAATAAGCCTCAATAGTATAGTTTTTAGTTAATAAACTTACATTTTTTTACATGAGTTAAATATATTTTTAATTATTTTTAAAATAATACTCAACTAAATTTAAATGGAAAACATTATCAACATATGAATATTCAAAAACTGAATAATTGATGATATAATTTAGTATACGTTATGCCAAATAAGCTGCGAATAAAAGTACTCAATCCATAAACTCCGTAGTTATAATGTCGACAAACAAATTTCCGGTACGCTACATTATTATTATAATAATTTGATAACTTTGCGATCTCTAATAATTGTGTTGGTTCATTGCACACCGGTGCTACTGACGGATACAATATGAAAATGTTCCATATACGCTTATAAGTGTCAAACACTTTCTGAAAAATTTTAGAAGTTACTATTAATATTATTACTATTATTAGTTATAGTAATTATTTGTTGATTGGAAATTATCATAAGTTTTATCATTGACTACTATTTGCAAAATTTGATTTAGAATCTTTTAAAGTTAAAAAATTATGAAAAATATGATTTTTTCTAAAGTTCAATATTTCTTTCTAATATGACTTTATTTGTTGTTTTACCCAATACAATTTTTTAGGTAGGTAGAAAATTTATGATTGTATGAAGACATCTCAATCTAAGTGTGTGAACTAGAAATATAAATCCAAATGGCAATTATTAATGTGTAATATAATTGTTGTCCACAAAATAGATAATTAACCTAATTAAAAACAAGTCATTTTTTTTAAAATAGTTTGTTTATTTTAAAATCTAAAATAGATCGCTTAAAAAAAAAAAAAAATGAATAAAATATGGTTTTTGCTTTGCGTTTAAATAAGACATGTTACTGATTCAAATATATACGTATGTATATTGGTGTCATTTATTCGAAGAACGTAACAAATTTAAGACAATCTAATTTTTATTTTTTACTAGAAAAATAGCGAAAGAAAATGTTCATGTGATCATATATAAATGTTTTTATTATATTATTGCACAGTAAAACAAGATCAATACAAATCAACTATCTGTATAACTGTGCAACATTGTACGAACAATCGTAATGCTATAACGAATATTTATGACCATAATTATTGTGTATATCACATGAATAACATCAAGTATTTTCACATTGTTCATCGGTTAAGATTTTAAAGTCAGGAGTATGCAATTCTACCATTTTTCAATGATATACCGTCGTACTACACTACATTAACAGGTTTACTTCGTGGCACTTTTACAGACGAATAATCGGCTATAGACGAGATTGTGAAATAAAAAGAATACGTACGTGTTAAGTTTTCGATACGGCTCAGTACTCGTCCGATAGTAATACATATAACAGAACAATTATCTTGGAATATAGTATCGATATCAATTGGAAAATTAACATTGATACATCATTTTAATATTTAATAACCGTTCCATATAACGTTATTAATATTATTCTGTCATAAACGCATTTATCGCGTTCGGAACAGATATTCGTACCACGATCGCGATCCATAACAATAGCCAGCGATGTATACTGTTATGAAATATTTGAATTAACCGACGGTTTTCGTGAGGAATTTTTAATCGTCCACTATTCAGCGTATACGAATCGATTCCTGTCATGTATTCGCGCAGAGAGATAGAATTTACTGGTTTTGTCACGAATGCCCGATTATAGTGAGATGGGCCATCAGTAGTCTCTGCTGAGAGATATTTCCTAGCGCATACCGACACTCCGACCGGCCTCGAACACCACTCATTTACCCAGTGGTGTGATTATAAAAAACTATAATATATATATTATATTATACTATATAATATAAATCCCCTCCAAATTATCTCGTGTATATATATTATGTTAACAGTGTTAGTAAAATCGATTAACGTCAATCACTTCATGTGAGTAAGTACCTTACTTACTTAAGTTATACGCAACATTTTACTTATCACACCTACCGGCTTAGGCTCGCCGCGATATCGTATCGGCACTCGTAATCGTAACGGGATAGGTTGTGGTTGGTATACAGTTCTTGTTCTGTGGGATAGTTTGAGATAATGATTTTCGTAAAAAAAAAAAAAAAAATACTACAGCGTATTATAACTCTTAGACAACGAACGCTAACCATGAATGCGATATGATTCTCAAAAATGAAACTTCCGGTAAGCAATTCGAAAGATCCTTGATATCAGTGCAGGTAAACATCTCGGATCTACCGGTACCGTTACGAGTGTATGGCAACAACAACCGGAATATTTTACGGTTGGTCCGTAAGTCGACGGCGTTCGTGAGAACCAAACAAAGGATTCGCGAAGGTTTCGACATCAGTGAAAAGTGCAGATGTATAAAACAACTAGATAGTCGACTTCCTATATAGCAGGGGTGGACAACTGGCGGTCCACGAGTCTTTTTTTATTCGGTTCGTGCTATATTTTCAAATTACATCATACAATTTTAAAGTTTATCTTTTATAGTGTAGAAGATAGTAGTTCTCAACCTTTTTGAGTTCGCGACCCCCTATAATGTCGCCAAGATGTCTAACGACCCTTTTGTAATTTAAGCATTGAAAAATTTTACAAACTGTTATTATTTTATTTATTTGTGTATACAATTTACAAAAAAAGGTATATTATAAAAGCCGATTAGCATTAATTAATAGAAAAAATAAATAAATATAAATAAAATAAAAATGATGTAAATTTGAATATTTTTTTAATTCAATGATTCTTTTGCTGTTGATTTGAAATAATTTTTTTTTCACATCATGTGACCTTAATAAAATTGTTGGTGACTCCCAAGGGGGTCGCAACCCCTGGTTGAGAATTGTTATTCTATACTCTATCTTATGGATATAATAATTGTTATCTGGTATTAAACATCGTTAAATTGGAACCATTGCCGCCGTACGCGAAACTAGCAATGTCTACAAATTTCATAATGACAACGCACATCTATAACGTGAATACGTAATGTTAGAGTTTTTTTTTTTTTTAATACTTCAGATGAGTTATTGGAAACGTGAGAAAAGTAGTAAACAGTGAATGTTCGAAAACAAATGTCAAATACTAAGTTTTTGTTTGGTACGATAAAAATTATGTTACTTACGCATGTGTAGCATTTGTATTAAACTTTACGGAAAACGTTTTCATGATAAACGGATGTTTATTGGACTCGTATGACCCAGAGGCTAAAATTTATACTTTTTCGTATTGCTCACTTAAGGATTTTCTAATACTTCCCTTTCAAACGTAAACAGTAATGAGTAACACGGTTGAAACAGTTGGTATCTTAGATTTTGCTGATGATACATTTTGGAATTCTAAAAATATGTAAAATAATTTAATAAAAAAATGTAAAATCAAAAACAAATACCATAATATAGAGAACCACAACACATTTTTTAATTTTGTACTACACATTTAACATTTCGTATTACGCAAAGTGTGTCGTACCGCGCACAATTTTAGGCCCTGGTATGACCGGCATTATGTGTTGGAGTTACGTATCGAAGTAGATCCAATATCGCAACATCGCGTGTTATACGTACCTACCGGAAATATCGGGTTTTCTCAACTTCGCGATAGCAAACAAAGACCAAAGTCGTATGAAATTTTGAAACGTTTCTAAATATCATGGTTTACGATACGGATGTTTTCGGCGATAAGGATAACAACGTGAACGTTGCATGGATGACGATGTTGAGTCTGCGGCGAAAAGTCGGAAAAGCGTTGCGATATCGTACGACGGGCGGGTGCATTTCGACCGTTGACCCGGGTACGGTGCAAGGTCTTCGGTTTGGACCACGATTTAAGATATACCGAAATATATCTTAAACCATGGTTCGGACAGACGCGCGCGATAACGGCTCTCGGCCCCCCTTCCCCCACCGATGACACGTGTTCGCCATTGATTATTATTGTTTTTTTGCGCAGGCGCGGCGGGCGAGAAACAGAGAGAGAGCGCACCACACACATCGCGTCGGCGGTGACGACGTCCAGCGGCGGCCGCGGACGTCAGGGTCCACGCGGGTGGTGATCACCGTCATCGTCATCACAACCGTACGGCGGCGGCGGCGGCGACGACGACCACGACGATCACGACGACCACGTCACCGGCATGCCGGAGCAGAGCAACGATTACCGGGTGGTGGTGTTCGGGGCGGGCGGCGTGGGTAAGAGCTCACTGGTGCTGCGGTTCGTCAAGGGCACGTTCCGCGAGTCGTACATACCTACCATCGAGGATACGTACCGGCAGGTGATCAGCTGCAACAAGAACATCTGCACGCTGCAGATCACCGACACGACGGGGTCACACCAGTTCCCGGCCATGCAGCGGCTGTCCATGTCCAAGGGCCATGCGTTCATATTGGTCTACTCGTGCACGTCCAGGCAGTCACTCGAGGAGCTTCGGCCCATATGGCAGGTGGGTGCCGGGTCACATGTTACTAACCCAGACTGGGGAGGGGGGTAAGGGATAAAGACGGGTCGTGGGAGGAGAGATCCATGTCGTGTTTTGCGTCCGGCCGACGTAGTTGTTAGGTCTCGGCGATAGAATCCTTTTCTAGGGGCGGCAGACTGGAGCAAATATTTTTTTTACCTGGGTTAAGGTTTTTTCAACCAATACTGAGGTTATTCAAATATACAATTCAGAATCTATCCTAAAAACTTATAACAAAAATCTACGATAACACGAAAATATTTACGCAAATTAAAAATTTTTAAATAGTAAATTTCATAAATCCTTTGACGTAGTTCTTTTAACTATAATGTTTTACGACTTTATTACATCATACATATTTTTCAGTGGGGGGGGGGGGGGTTAGAGCCCCCTCTGGCGGAACCGTGCGACGACCCGTCGATCGGTATAAAACGCATATTGCTCCGTTGATTACGATACATTGCTCGGTGGTAATATTACGTGTATCGCATAAAATTGTCCGGGTAAAAACGTGTAAACCATGTTCGCGAGGATCTGCAACTCCTCTGTAGCCGACCTCCGGTATGAACATGCACCGCGTTGTACCGCCCGTGATAGATTTTCGTATAGATCATATCATATAAATCTCTAACGATTACGTGCCGAGGTGATCGTTGTAAAAAAAAACTGGTAACCGTTGAAATACATCATATCCGTTTTGACAACAAAGCGCTCGAAAACACAAAAATATGAGCGAAATCAGATGATTAGAAGGATCAATTGGTTATCGAAGGAATAATTAAAATTTTAATTCTAATACATGAAATATTTAAAAAAAAAATTAATAACAAGTAATAAAATAAAATCGTAACGAGATGTTCCATAATATTTTTTATAATATACTTACCAATAAAGTGTTCACACCGTTTCGCTCATTCGTGTGTACACGAACAGTTCTTTAAAATCAAACTTGATTATTTATCGGTGGAGCGATGATGATTCCTGATAAGTACATACGTACATCACCAAAACGATTAATTTCCTCTAAACCTTTGGTGTTGAATAAAATAATGATGCGGTGTCGGATATCATTATTTTTTTTTTTTCTAAATGTTTTTAACGTGAGTCGATATCTTTTTAAACCCTTTCCGTTGAGCAATCCAAAGTACACAACACATGCGCCTTCGACCATCAATTGATATCGGTAGAGTTAAGCCTAAACACTCGCTTATCCTTCGTGTACAATATTATTACATACATACCGTATAATACTGCGCACAATGTATAGCAGCAAGTCACGGCGCGACTGAACGATTAATCATACGATATTTTGGTCCGCGGTCGGATGTATGCGTCATCATATCGTATAGACGTATGAATGTGCTCCGTCGGTGACGGACGTCAATGAATTGCTATTTATTCGGTCTTATTCACATAACACAATCAATTAATAATTAGCTATCAATTATTCGAATAATAAAAATCATACATAAACAAACATTATTTATTTATTTCGCGCAGAAAGTATCTATTTTTTTATTATTGATAAGGTTTGAACTATAAAATGAACAATTATTGTACACGCCCCATGTTATCTTTGATAAGTTTATTTAATTTAAATATTATTTCAGTACGAATAAAAATTGTCGTTCGATGACAACTATTTGTTTGTGGACATAACTTCTGTTTGTATTTCGTACATATTGTATACGTATATGATTTCTGGTCGTTTTTAGAGCGGCCTATAGTAAATTTTTTTTTGCATGCATTCATATTCTATAAATATTACGGTATACCTAATAAACGTAAATAGTATTTAATAAATAATTTAACTTGCAGTTGACCGTTAGAAACTAATTTAATATAAGTATTAAACTACTTTTGTAGGATTAAATTTTCGAAAAATATACAGTGAAATAACGTAGTGAATTGGAAAAATATTCAAGTGACCCGCGAGGAGAAAAAAGTAGAGTGTGTAACCTTTTCAGTACTTAGAAATGACGTTTCTTTAGTTTGAAAATAATAATACAGTTTTTCAAAAATTATATATACCTATATGGACTGAAAGAGAAGAAAAAAAGGAAAAATTAGTCATAATATAAACCTACCACATTAAAGGAGTTGGTATAATATTAAATCGTTATTATAGTTACTACTCATACATTTATGACTCATAATACTCACTTTATTTGTACTCCAGTCACAAATTTAATATGAATATAAACGCTTAAAAACATCGAGTAAAGATTTAATAATTTTAGAATCAATTAAATTTTTCAATTATACTCCGATGAAAATTAAGATTAAAACGCATTCGTATTTTGATCAATTATTTCATGAAAAATAATGAGGATTTAGAATATATTTTGTTCTTTTAAGTTATCCACGTTACAGCATCATTAAAATGTATTCGTCGAACCGAGTAGTAGTTTATAATCTATAGATTATAAACGATGTATAAATATACATAATTTTTATATTTTAAGAGTTAATCATTTTTGTACTAAATTTTACCACTGACAATGTCCTATACTGATTTGTTCTTACTGACGATCATGTTTCATACAATAAAATATGATATAGCCTATGAAAATAGTGTTAATACCTATTTTTCTTCAATAAATATTCGTAAAAAGTTTTTTTGTCATTTAAATATTTAAATGAGTATATTTATTCTTCTCTTTTTCTTCTTTAACTTGAACAGTTTTGTAGACAGTTACAATTCGATATTATCTTACTCAAGTTTATTAATCGGTATACATATGTACGAGTACATGTTTAAATGTATTAATTTTTTGATTAAACCAATCCAATTGATATATTTTAAAATTTAAAAAAAAATTGTTATCGATCGAAACCTATCGAGACTTTATTTAAAGAATAATTTCTTATTATGTTTGCCTATAATTAATATATAATTGATTTTAAGTTTCCAGATTTTTTTGCTTTGTTTTTTAAATTTCAAGGAAAAATTGTTTCTTTTGAAATTTCTTTAAAACACAATGTGTATTATTTAGTTTCTTACACGGCGAGTACCTATATGTTGTACAAGACCGTCGCTAGGTTATTTGCCACGCCCTTTAGCTAGAAACTGCAAATTTAACTATGAATGATTTAGTTTAGATTCGAATATGAATAAAATATGTATACGTACTTAGATTAATATTTTACTCTGGTTCAGCAATAAAACGTACATTTTGCACGCAGGATTGGTTTGTAATAAATACCTGGACAACGATATACATGAATATTGCTATCATTTTTTGCCATGCACAATGCAATCTTTCTTTGATTAATGATGTTGAAAGTTTTCTGATGTACGCGAAAAAAAAATAAATATTTATACCTACGATAAACACACGTGACGTGCGATGAAATCCTTTTGTCATTATCTCTCTATATAGATCGGTGTTAAAGTTCCTTTTTTCGTACGAAAAGATGATTTATTTTCGTTTCATGCGTTTCGGACGGTAATGAAACCGAAATCATAATTTTACGATATTATTCTTGTACACGTTCGATCGAAAACAGGGAACCGGTCCGAATCGCGGACAAACAATAATGATTATAATAACAATACATAAGTAGCGTGCATAACACTACCCCGAGACGACTTCGAGAATCGATTATCATCGCTCGTTTGTTCCGTACACCGTGACGCTCAGGGCCGTAGCAACCAAATATTACACCCAAGGCGAAAATTAAAAATGCGTACTTAAGTATTTTAATTTATAAAAAGAATTATAAATGCAATATAAATAATAATTTTTCTTTATAATGTAAGCGTTTGTTAATTTTATTTAAATCAATAACTTATTCAAATATAAATATACATAATAATCATAACTAGGTACATAATTATATTTATAAGTAATATAAATAAATACATAAAAACATAAATATATAATATTACTTATACTCATAAGTAATAATCTATAACTTATAACTTATAAGTAACAATTAAATTGCAAATTTTTCATTTTTGCGCCCTCTCAGGAATTGCGCCTGGGGTGCAGGCACCTCTAGCCCCTCTCTTGTTACGGCCCTAGTGACACATCGAGGTTTTCCAAGTCGATCCCATCGAAACGTTGGCGTGTCGCGTAACAGTAACGACGAAACGTACACGGATCGATCATTTCACGTGACTCAGGGGCGGAACTAGAAGGTGGAAGACGGGGATTCATCCACAAACGTAAAATTTTCGAGGGTGTAATTTTTGTAATCATTAAAAACTTATTTGATATTTTTAGCTTTGTTAAATACTCTTATTAGATTAGAACACAATAAGTATGATTGTATATTAATTATTAGAAAAAAATACTCGAGAAGTGATTATTGGTCTATGATGAGGCGTAATTTTAAAATTTTCCCCGGGCGTAAAAGTTCCTAGTTCCACCTCTGACGTGACTCGCCGTTCGTCCCTGCCCACGTAAACAACATTTTCGATCACGTGCTGGATATTGTGGACGTCAGTGACGGCGTGATGTCCATTTTCCAATAGCTTCGTATGTGTCGAGCACAGTTACGATTCGACGTACTTGTAGGTACATAAATATTAAAATTAATGGGTCCGATAAAAAAAAAAAATGAATGAAAAACAGTAACGTTTCGTGTTGAATGTGCGAATTATGTGTTAAACTTTGCTTCAACAGAACCCGTATCGCACCGCCACCCAGTAGTTGTTCGCTCGTGCCGCAGATTAATCCGGTGCGACGCGTTGAAAACTTATTTTATTTCGCGTTCGCAAAGCTCTACATGCAGCCATGTTCGTATCGCAAACACTGCGAACTAGTGTGTTTGTCGATTATATTAAGTACGGATGAGCGGAGGAGGGGAAAAAGTTTTTCGGTTCATTTTATTCTTCGCTCCCGCAGGAAAACAATACTACCGCGAGGAGTTGTTTGCACAATCCGTTATTTTACTCCAACCATAACCTAGGTAGATGCGGAAAAAATTTTACGTTTACGTTTCATGTTTGTCGGGCAGAAAGCGTTCCACCAATAATAGATGAACGTCGTTCACATTCGACCAGGAAAAGCCTACGTTAAAAATGCATTGTTGGGTTTTCGCGTAACCTCTTACGCAGATTACCAATAATTAATTACGCGATGTTCGTATTTCTGTTCATTACATCACGTTGTATTGGTATACCTGTTGTTCCGGATGCAAGGAAAAATTTATAGTCCGGTCAAATTTACGTTCAATAATGATTTCATTGAAATATTATTTTCAACAATATCTGGGATACGAGTGATAGTCGTTCGTGTCCGTACAAACTAGAATTAAATAAACAAGCGCAATATTTTTGACAGAACAGCGATTATTTCTGATTTTCTAATTATTCGGAAACGTAAAAACTGCTCACGCTTCGAACAGTGATTTAACTTGAGTTTATTCATATTTTCTTTAAGCAAAACTTAACGAATATTTTAAAAAGTGTCGTATTAAATAGCTGCCCAGATACAAGTTGTGAATAATAACTTGTTTAATTATAGTTTGAAATATACTACCTGCATAGTGTTTAATTAAAAAATACACAGACGCATACACAATCAAACCAAGTATAATATTTCATACTGGTTTTGATAAACACATATCGTATTGGTACGTGTATAAGTATTATAATTATATTAACATTTTATAAAAACAAAACGTAGAGTAGAAAACGAGTTACATTGTTTGATATGTATTATTCTTGGACCTCTTGAGGTATGAATAATATCTACAAAAGAAATTACACAGCCAGAAACGTCAAAAATTGTGTAATTTAATTTTCGCTTCTTCTGCTGTTATTTGCCGTCCAGTTTCTTATCGATGATGAGGCTAATAGGTAGTTTTCGAAAAATTTGAGTATAAACGCTGGAAAGTGTTTTTCTAGAAAAATAGAACACAACACATCTTAAATCCAATTGTCAAGGACAGACGCAGAAAAAAATTTCGAGTGGGGATGTTTTGAAAAAATAAAAATAATTACCGTCAGGCCCATATTTAAAAATTTGGTGGCCCGGGCATATTATTTATGCCCTTTAAAAAAAAAAAAAAATAATAATAATATAACACTTATTATTTCGTCCATAATCGAGATTCTTTAATATTAAAATATAACTTATAAATGAATATATCAATAATAAATATATAATATATAATAATAATAATATTATATAATATTATACAATAGTATTATATAATTATATAATATATATTTATATATTAATAAATATATTTATCGTTTAATACTTTTTTTAATTTACAAATTAAACAAATTATAACATAATAAAACATATTATTTTCTTTTTTTTTTCATTAGGTACATCATTTATAAAATTAATTTTGCTAAATTATTTTGCCACCCCTGAGACTTGATGCCCCCGGACATGTGCCTACCCGTGCCCCTGTTAAATACGGGCTTGATTACCGTTATTTTAAAATAATTTACCATTGACTATAGATTGACTATTGTCGATCGTCATCACATGACCATACAACAGAAAATTTAGGAAAACCGTTAATTATAATGTACCATTGTAAATAATATTATATCGATAACGTAAATTTATTTATTTTTACTTATTGATAATAAGCGACTTAAAAACACGCATTATTTTTACGACGTATTGCCATTATGGAATTTCAAAAATTTGAGTTTTAAGTACCAATACCTTTTAAAACGTTTGGAAAATTACAAATAATTACAAATTCACTTTTCTTAGCAAAATATTTTTTTTCCAGCATATTTTAATCGTATTTTAAACAATTTATTTTTAATAAGGTAAGATAACTACGTTTGAAACTAATCATTCATTCATTCCGGCGGGGGGGGGGGGGGGGTGAACCCCCAAAACCCCTCCTTGTGTCCGCCACTGCCAATTCTAATTGGCACAGCCATTTTCGTAGACTGTTGAAAACAAAAATACGAACGGAACCAACTTGAACCGTTGAGTATTGCTTAAAATGTTTAGGTTGCAAACAAAAAGAGAAAATAGCATCGTATTGAATATAACTACTGCGTGATGAGTGGTGCACGCGGAAGTCGTGATCGAAAATCAAATTAGAAAAATTATATAGAACAAACTCAAATTAATTTGATAGCAGTCTCGCTCGCCTCTTTCTCTTAGAATGTCGAAGGACGGAGAAACAACAAAATTAAAAAAAAAAAAAAACTGTACCATATGCGAACGTTCAGGGCAAATATCGTATCTCCTGTTATATTGGAGGAAAGAACGGGAACAATTTGGTTTCCAAAAGCGGAATTGGTAGAATACGAATTGATTTCGTATAAGATATACTGATGTACGAATAATTTGACTGTTTAGTGGTTAAAAACGACGCTAGTCGAAAGTGGCGTAGCCAAGAGGGGACAAGGGGGCTATAGTCACCCCCCAAATGGGTCGTGGTTGTGTGCACGTACTAAACTAGTACACTGCTATCAGGGGTGCTAAAAATTTTATTGCACCCCTCCCCCCCTAGTTACGCCTATGAATGCACCGATTCCGTGCACATGGGTGGGGTAATGGGCTCAGATAACGGTTCGTGGACCGTTCGTTATTAATCCGTGTTAATCGTGTATGCGTGTGTGCCGGACAGGTAATCAAAGAGACGAAAGGCGCAGCGGAGTTGCCGTCGATACCGATCATGCTGGTGGGCAATAAATGCGACGAGAACGACACGCGGGAGGTGTCGGCCGAGGAGGGTGACGCGGAAGCGCGTCGCTGGGGCTGTCACTTCATGGAGACGTCGGCCAAGACCAACCATAACGTGAAGGAGCTGTTCCAGGAGCTGCTCAACCTGGAGAAGAATAGGAACATATCGCTGCAGCCAGAGAAGAAGTCCATGCGCGGCCGCAAGATACGCGAGAAGTGCGCGCTGATGTAGTGGCGGCCCACCCGTGGTGGGGAGGGCACGCTCGTCGGACGCGCGGGATGGGTTTTTAACACGCACGTTACTCGTACAGTTCTGTCGCATAAGTTGTATTACAATTATTATTATTATTATTATTATTATTATTATTATGTCTTTTGTGTTTTTCGTTCATCCGATTTCGGGTTTCGTTCGTTTGAATCGCACGGTTCGCTGTTTTGTCATCGTCACGGGTTATACGCAAATCGCAACATTTTACTGTGTAAAATTCGAGGGGGGGGGGGCAAAAAACAAAAACATATTTATTTCGTTTTAGTGAGACTGATCAACGCTGACAACACCAATTTAAATCTAGATTAAATATTATAATAAAACATGTAGAACGACGTTTTGAAACGGTGGTAGTGAGAAATTCATCCGACACGAACTTTCCGGGGGTACCGCGAACGGACATCGTTGTTTTTCCGTCGGAACTTTTAGCGCGCGGCGAGTTTCAACCGGTCCGCGACCATCGTTCGAAAACGCTGTAACGCTCGCACACGATTATCGTGGAACGACTTCGTGACCGCCGACGTAGCATTCGGACGAACCTAGCGGATACCTCAACTACATTATTATATTAATGTTTTATGCAGTGCTCGACTTGGCAAAATTAAAGAAGGGGGACTCAAAAAAAAAAAGAAGCGTCCCCAAAACTTGTTAAGCGTTATAATTATAACGTTATAATAGTAGGGGACGCTAAGATTTCTGAAAATTAGTTGGGATACTCCGTCACCCTCAAGTCGAGCACTGATATTATATTAATATAAAATATACACGTTATATAGTAACAATAATCGTAACTGTTCACACCGTCGTCGCGATGTCCAGAGGAAGACGAACGTCACCTCTAACCGTTTGTTATTATCATTTTTTTTTTTTTTTTGTCCATCATAGTCGTCCAGCAATGGGTATGATCGTAGTCGTAACGAGTGTTTACAATAATTCCCGGTAGTAATTTATTTCACGGTTGTAGCGTTCCAAACACGGTCTGTAAATAGTGCTCATATCGAGTTCCGGTAGGTACCAAAAAACGTTCATCTCACCGTTTTCATTTTTTCGTTTACCGCGATACAATTAGGCGATCATATTTCTAGAGGGGTAACGTTGATTTTTCTATTTATCGTGGAGAGGAGAATTATTTATTAATCGTATGTTATATTGCACCTTGTACATATTATTTAATTAAACAAAAATGTAGTGGTTACCTAGTCAACAGTATTTATATATATATATATATATATTATAATTATATTTTTTAAATAAATGATATTTGGTAACTTTTTTTTTAGATAAATAATGTAATGTTATTATTGTTTACAGCTTTATATACGATTCGTTTGTTATAATAGTTGTATAAGTGTATTGTCGATCAATTTGAACGATAGGAAGTGATTTTCGTAAATTGCTCCGGTCTAACGTTTAGTTCCTGAAAATTATTTTATTTCCATTTTTCTTTTTCGTTGTTAATTTTACGCTCACGATATTATATTGTTTTTATTTTTTCACTTATGTATAATTCATAGTTTTTAGACATCATTCATTTTTGATGAAATAAGTAACAGATGTGTAATTGAATCATTTTTTAATTTTTACATATTATTATTATTATTATTATAATATTATTAATTAAATAGGCTAATAATTTAGCTGAAATATTAACCTGCAGATGGGAACATGACAATTTGATATATGTTTATAATAATTAGGTATTGCATACTTTTTTGGTATTTTATAGAATGTAAGAAAGTTTTGTTGTAATGTTAGCCTAATGCTCAATAAGAATTTAAAGATAAAAAAATATTTTTTTTCGTTTCTATTGTCCAGTTAACATTATAATTAATTATTATTTAGAAACTAATATAAGAGCTTTTAACTATTGTTGTTTGATCAATGTTCAGTAAATGTGTAATATTGAATGTCGGAGTGCTTATGTATGAAACCGTTATCAGTTAATTTACGCCCTTCCCTATCACAATAAAAAAATCATACAATTTAATTATAAATGTAAAATACTATGAACAGTACAATATTGAAGAATTTAAAACGTACACATATAGGTTTATTATATTTATAATTGTGAACAACTGACATTTTACATTGAACATATTCACTATTTTTCTATGAAAACATATCACAAAATATCTTTTCTTCAATTTATTAGAGTAACAGTAAAAAATAAAAGCACGAAAATAAATTTTAAAATGTTGGTACACGATTAAAATTTTCATGACTTATTCTGAATTATTCATCCATAATTTGTAAGCGATGACGTGTAAGATTTGCAATATCATAACAAGCTTCTGCAGTTAACAAATCAGATACCTAAAGAAAATAAAAATTGTTTTACATTTACATTTCTTGTTTAATATTGAAATTTCACAAAAAAAAAAAAAAAAACTGTGCCAAATCAAATTAATAATGTATTTTGTTCCGATAAATATATCAAAACATTTTAATAACCCTTCTTATTAGTTAATATAATGGAATGGAAGTACAGGCCGATATTTAATAAGATCGATTTATGTATGACTGTAACATTGTATTTGATGTCAACCATATATTTAATCAGAATTTTAAGACTTTTAAATGTCATTGTTATAGTTAATTTGAAGAATCTAATATAAATCAAAATTTATTTGTTAGTGTAAACGTAAAAATTGCTTTTATTCTTCACACTTTTTTTTTTCCCCAAGCTTGCAACTTTTCAGCATATTGGTATATGATCAACTTTGTCCTGAATTAATAATCCTGCTCATCCTTTTAATTATATAATATAGTATATACCATCATAAAATTAAGAAGAAAATTAAATAAAAAAAATATTAAATCATTAAAATATATTAACAAGAAATAAAATTATTACTTTATCATTTTTATCTGATAAATTAATTAAAATAGTTATCAACAAATAAATAACTGAAATTAAAAATTCAGTAAATATAAAATATGTAAGATAAAAATAAATTAAAATGTTTTAATTTAATTTACTTAAAAATACTATTTATTTTCACTGAGCCGTTAATTAATAGCTGGTAGCATAATTTTAGTATTTTATTTTTCTGGATGAAATAAAATTTAAATGCTAATCAAATATATATTTGATACAATGATAATTTAATTAAGTATACATTATTTAATAATTATTGAAAATATTATTATAATTGGTTATTTTATCTATATGTTATAAGTTATGATTTTTTTTTTACAAATTAACATTTTAAAACTAGAGATTGCATTAAATTGTATTGTTTTTTAAATTGTACTTTAGTAAATTTTACATTACAAATATCTTAAAAAAGTAATAATGAAGATGTATAATTAAATTAAAAAAGAAATCTAGACTTCTTGCATCAAATGTCTGTCTAATGAAAAGATTATTATGATTTTATGAGAAACATATAAGGTTATAAACACTCGAGATTTAAGTATAACTATTAGAAAAAAAATTATTTAATTTAATTTTGAAAATATAAATCACATGAAAATATAAAATGTTTACATCTTTAGATAATATTTTAAACAAATTATCCATTAAAATAATAAAATACAAGTAATAATAAAGTTTTGAAAAAAAAAAAAAAATAGAAAATTATTTTAAATCTTATCATATTTTTATTATTATTTTTTATTTAATTTGCCTTTGTTTTAAATATTAAAGCAAAGCAGTTAGATTAGTTATATACAGAATTTAAGTACTTAGCAATATTTTTAAAAAAAATTTAAAAAAAAAAAAAAATTAATTAAAATATTTATGAAATTAATGATGGAATAAATGTTAGGAATGGAGCTAGAGTTGAGGAGATTAGAGTAGAGAATTATATAGCCAAAGAAAGATAAGAATGAAAAAAGAAGTTGTCTACTAGGAAGAATGGGATGGACAGTTAAATATAATGTGGTTAAAATCGTATATTGATTCATGAGGACTAGTATAGAGTGAAGAAGAATTAAGGGAAAACTTGAAAGAATGGTGGGGTAGAAGACTGTACCCATTGCGGAGGTGGGTGAATCCTACAATCAGATGCCTAGAAATTTTAAGTTTGGTGATTCATAGAAACTTAGATATTATAGGGGTAACATGTCTGCGCCATGAGGGGAAGTTATGATATTATTGTGTTAAATAGATAAATTTTTTAATATGATAAGTATGTCTATAAATATAAATATAAATATTCAAAGATTATATTTATATACTCAATACATATTACTACTATTTAACTATAACTTATATTTTATTTATTATACTTACAGTATATTTTTTTGATTCTTCTAAGGCAAACTGTATACTTGTATCATAAATAAGCATTTTATAATAAGACAATGCTAATATTACATTGCGTACTCTTGATATTGTTTGTCTATCACCAATATCAACCACCTATACATATATTTAAGTATATTAATTTTTTTTGTAAAATACCTCAAACGTAACCAAAGGAAATATAACAATAATTACCTGTTCAAACTCATCTTCGAGTCCAACTAAATCTTTATTATCATTTGATGTTGGTTCAATCCATATATAACCATTATTCCCAAGTATGATACTTATTCCAACTGTCAGGTTATGAAAATGGTTTTTACTACGTTTTATTAGACTGGATTGTACTTTTATTAATACACCTTGTCCTAACTGCACAAAAAATGTCAGTTTAAGTTTAATTTTGGTTAAGTGAGACATTAAAACTATTTACCTTGCCATACTTCAAGCTTCGCATATGTAATGATAAAGAACCATCAGCAAATATGGAATGTACTTCAGCACTAATCAAGTCACCTTCACTTAGGTAATTTCGCATAGACTGTTCATCTTCCATACCTCTTCTTCTCTAAAAATAGTAGAAGAAAAATATTTTCAGAAAAAATTATGGTTTTAACTCAATCCACTGATTTGGCAGATAAGCTACCTAAGAACATGAAAGTAATGTGGATATATTTTACATATATATTTTAATAGTACACATTTTTAAAAAGTAACAGCTTTGTAAGAAGTATATCATATATATATATATTTACATACATATATTCTATAATTAATGTACTATGAATTAATTAATAAATAGATACTAGTGGTTAGGTATCAATATAGAAACATAACCATAAGTAAAAAAATTAATTTAATGTTTCAAATATATATTATTCAGATAACCAGTTGGTTAGATAATTATTATTCTACTGTGCCTTGAATGTATTTTACATTAATTCATTAAACAATGTTACTAACAACTCGTATTGTTTAAAATTATAAACTAAACTTACTAATTCTCCGCCAGGTAGCTGAATAGATGTTAATAGTAGAACAGCATCTAGCCTTGCATTTAAATCTACTTTCCAGCGTTTGTGCACTAATTCTGTAATTCGACCAATCACTACATCACCAATCTCTCCATTATATCGACATCGCAATGGGCTAACTGTAACTAGTCTATTAATATTTTGTTCTACTCCTGCCACAGTTGCTTTTAATGAGCCCGCCGATACGTAAGTTCCATGTCCTCTATAATGAAGTAATAATAACTAAGTAAAAAATAAGTAAAATAGTACATAAATCGGTCAGAGGTGTTAAAGAAATATAGATTACAAGGGGATCAGTGGCTAATAATAGTTAAGAGTAGTCTTCGTTTTTGTTCATTGTTTATAACTTAATAAAAAAATTGACAGTATATATACAAACAACTTTCTTCAATGAAGTTATAAGAATGTATTTGTTGAATATAAAAATAAATAAATAAGTAAAAGAAATGTTTGTAATAATCATTGAAGAGATTGAAATATAGTTTATATTTTAAGAAAATATTTTATAAATTGGGAGACGTAAAATATAATAAAAAAAATACTCGATCATATAAATATTCTTAATGATAATTATATCAATAATATACAAACATTTATTGTGATATGGAAAAAAATATATTCACTAATCCATTCTAAATAATTGTGTATTAACAGGTTTTATGATTGTGTCGAAACATTTTAGAAAAAAAAAAATGCATAATCAGTGTATATCTTTTTTCTCATATTTAATACGAGCATATAGACAAGATAAACCTAGCTAAGATGATGTATTACTTATTTTATACTATTCATATGATAACGTATTAAAGAGTACAACCGATGAAATGCAAGTAAACACTTACACATTTATCATTAAACATTATCGGGTTCTTTTTAATAAATATCTACCTCATAAATCCTGCTTCATCTCTAATCTTTTCACCGGGTGTAAATATGACTGGTGGATTCGAAGTCGGTTTGAGAATGCCATGTCGGGTCTTCTTCGATGCTAAACTTATCGAGATATTCATGGTAAAAGCCGATTAATTATGTCTTCATCAGCTCGAGGGAAGCGCTGTAATTCGTCGCTCGATACTATTCAAATTTAAATTTTTATACAATGTCTATCACGACAAAACACTCAACGCGCGATACGTACTGAGGTTTGAACCTAACCTCACATTTTGTTTTAATTTCGACGTCCCCAACGAAGAGTATCGTAACTCATTTTTTTTGTTTTTGAGTTAGCTACGCAATTTGTTAGGGCAATTTTTTTTCTTAAAACCACGAAAACAATAGTATTTCAACTATAGCCGAAGATATTATAAAATATTATGTATTAATATTAAAATGTTGATTTCCCGCGAAAAAAGTCTTATCATGAGTTACCACTAAATTTAAACATGATTACCAACGAAAACTATGGTAACTCGAATATTATAATTTATAATATTCTAATTTTGGATTTTTACTTGTTTACCTTTGTGGGTTTTAGTTTTTAGCATAATCAATCACAATAATTATTGATAACAAATAATGAAAGTTTCACAATTTAACATTATTAAATTCAATATTGAGATATTATGTTATTAATTGTTAGAATATTAACAATATTTTATTTATTTTACTCTTGCGATGGAATACACAATGAATAATATTATAATTAATGAATGCGAACAAAGCGTAAGTATTATTAAAATTTCTCAGATAGTTAAAACTATTATAAATTAGGTAATGTATCATTATATGCCATATTCCAAACCTGCCTACTTTCTTCATTTTAAATTATATACAATATATGGTGTTATGACTTATGAATATTATAAAATATTATATGTATTATAATTATATTGAGTTGTCATAATAAATATTATTTTAATTAACAAGAAATTACAATGGTTATTACGTCTTGACTTATTTTTTTAATTTATTTTCTACAAAAACTGTCGTAACTTGACTTCCGTTTTTATTTTTATGTTATTTTTTCCAGCGAAAATAGTCGTAGACTATTCAACAAATAGAATTAGCTGAATATATAATAAGTGAATTTTAAGAAAGAACCTGAAAGATTACAATAATAATTTTAAGATTTACAATTTTTGAAAACCAAAATAAGATTTTATTTTTGAATGTTTATATTGTATTTCCTGAACATTTTTTAAAAGTGATTTACGACACTCTTCGTTGCGGACGTCGATTTGTATTATGCTCTCTGATAACACGGACGGTTGCCTACAAGGTTTATAGATAATAATTATCTATAAACCTTGGACTGCCTACCCATAGACATATAAAGTATATATATGTCTTTGGATGTCTATGTTGCCTACCCATGGGTGCAATTAGGGGTGGACTGAAGAGGCTTAGCACCTTTGAAAACATTCAAAGCCCCCAAAAACCATGCAGAACTTTATATTTTTATATTGATAAATAAAAAAAAATATGTGATTACTACTGAAAAATGAAATTTATTTTTATTTTCAAATTTTACTTGCCTTCCAATAAGTACATTTTTTTTATAGAGGATGAAGGGTGGAAAGTTTCTGAGAGGCAGTGGTTGAAAAATATATGGGAGGGGCCGAAGCCCCCAAATTTTTTACTCTGCACCTATGTGCTTATCGCAGCCATAGATAATAGAAGATTCTTCTATTGTTAGTGACCGCAACGGTGTCACGGAACAAATTAAATAGGAATAGAAACTGATAAGGAAATACACGAGCGCTTACGGCCGCTGCCCAATGATATGGTCTGCCATTTCAAAAGAGCTCATCTGTGTGGACCAAAAATCGAAATACGATACATTTTAAGTACAATGAATACACTGGAATATGATTTTTTTTTTCTTGAGATAATCAAGTGTAGAACGTCAACTTTCGTTTGAATAATGTAAGTATTTATACATATATTTATTAATCAGAGCCTAAAATATATACTTTTTCGTACTGCACACTTAAGGATTTTGTCATATTCCCATTTCAAATGTTAACAGTAATGAGTAACAGAGTTAAAATAGTTGGTATTTTAGATTTTGCTGATGATACATCTTGGAATTTTAAAAATATGTAAAATAATTTAATAAAATAATGTAAAATTAAAAACAAATACCATAATTTAGAGAATAAAACTACAACACACGTTTTAATTTCGTACTACACACTTAACATTTCGTATTACACAAACTGTGTCGTACTGCACACAATTTTAGTCCCTGTTATTAATCACATTACCTATACGTTATATCCTATTGTAGAGCTTAAATGATAAAGATTTTACTTCTTAACATTGGACAAAAAAAATTTATATTTAAAACAGTATAAACTATTAACTTGTTCATTTAAGTAATTCGTAAATAAACAGTTTTCTATAAAACTAAATTTAATGTTGTGGAAAATAAATATGCCTAAATATTGTAGTTGCTGTTATTCTGCAATATTTAGAAAATAATATCTTTTAACTAATTAAAACCACTGGAGCAACTGAGCCAATTATCTTCATTGTTTTAATTTTTTTATGACACTTAAAAATGTAAAGTGACTGTATATTTTTATTTTAAAAGGGAACTGTTGATTTTTATTTGGCTACAGTTTATGCAATTACAAACATTGATTAACTACATAGGTATACCTTATATTTTAAATAAGTAATTCAATAATATTCAATTTTTTTATTAATAATATTCTATAAGCTAATGAACCAGTCGTTGAGATCTTTAAAAGTAACTTAAAATAGTAAATAAATTATAAGACTATTAGTTATATTGTAATTAGTTTTAAATACAAAATAAAATGAATGGTATTTACATAAATACAATAATTAATAATCATAATAAGAACATATTGTTAAAAATAATTTTCAAGGCATGTAGTGTATAATGTTCAAACTACAAAAAATAATAAAAATTAATAGTAATTACAATAATAAATAAAATATTATAGGTAAATGAGATAAGACAGCAAATTTATTTTTTTTTCATTTTTCCTCAGAAACGAATAATCTGTTTAAAAATTTAACTGTTGCAGAAATTCTTAATCTAATATATTAATATAATAATAATTAAATATAATATTATAATAATATATTAATATAAAATAATATATTAATTAAATAAAAAAAATTTGTTGAAAAGTTTACATGGATGATTAAACGGAATATTACTAAAGTGAGGTCTCGACTTGGAACAAACATCATTTTTTATATAAATAGATGAAAATAATTAGATAACAATATTTTAACTCATCGATAAAATTATAATAAATCGTTATTAGGCATCATTATGTTTTCAAACGTCGAATGATCACTTGTAGCATATGCTTTAAGAAAACATAAAATAAAAGACTGGTCTGTTTTTGATGACAATCATAAATTATACAATTGTTACATTTATGATTTTTTCAACACTTTATCATTATGTAACTAATTTGAATGTTTTTCTCTCAGGTAAATCTAAATTTTTATTATAACAATTTTTCGACAAAATTCTTAATAAACAGTGTTAAAAATATAGAAATGCTATAAACATTTTTTTCTACCTAAGAAAGTTATCGAGCCCTTTCAAGTTGGTGAACTAAAATTTGGGTGACTAAAAGCTTCCACTCTGAATTAATCTATTCTGTGGTATTTTAAAGGTATGCATTAAATTATTGTGTCGTAGAGTAACAACAGGTCTTTAGTTATACTATTATTAGTCTTATTGGGTATGGCTATTAATATAATATATTTTTCAAATCTTATAATAGTTTAAATAAATTACAAATATATAACCATGTTTACTTTTTTTTATATAGAAAATGGGTTTAGAAACAATGTATACTATCCACTGAATACATTATACCAAAGTTATTATTTTGAGATAAGTCTAGTAGGTACCGTAGAAACAAAGCATTGCGCCCGGGGTAAAACTTTAAAATGCAACCATATGTATTTTGAATTCAAAAATATTATAATGATTAGATATTATTTTCAACAAATATCTTTTTCAAACATATTCAAACATAAGGCTGTTGGTGTATGTTTGGTACTGAGTCACGGTCAACGACCACTACCGACCGACCAATTATCATTCATACACATGCATACGTTTATCAAATAATAAGTTAATTTTTTTTATCTGTTTTATCGTTGTTCGTGGTATCTTGAATTATGTAATTGAAAAGCCCGCGTGTGTCTATTATTATAATTGTATGTGATTTTTGGGTGTTTTGCGGGAACCATCGTCCGAGAATGTTATGTGTATTTTATATATTTTTTTTTTTTTATTCAATGGGCGCTCTAATCAACGTGAATGTGATTATTCATATTATGATTCTACTATGATTATACTATTTGATTATTATATTGAGTGGGCACTAATCGTCACTAATTTGAATTAAAATATAATATTGCGTACGCGAATTATCGCTAACTATTATATTTATTATTGATTGATTTCATATTCATTATATTTACCGCGTGCGTGCGAATTGCCACGATTGACAATAATTCATGAGTACTAATTATTATTTTTTATTATTATTTGTGTATATAAAAATTATTTTATTTAGACATAGGTCAAAGTAGTAGTACACCGCTAAATTTTAACTTTTATATATTATATTATTTATTTATTTATTTATTGTTGGGCCAAAAGGGCCATAGTTATTTATTTTACTATTGTATTGTAGTGAATTAATTCTATTTTTTGTGATTTTTTATTTAATTTTTACTAGCAATACAAACAATTATTCACCATTTCTACATTTATTTCATTTAGTTACCTACCGTATTTTTATTAGTTTTTAAATATACACAAATACATTATAACACACACAACACATTATATCATCACGTAGCTCTCTTGTATTTGCACGGCGAATCCAACCACTAATAGTTGCTCTATATATACCACTACACACAAAATACACATAGTTGGTCGGTCAGTGGTGTTTAACAATCGTTTAGGTGTCTTGGTGCGCGTCATATTATTTGTCGCACTCGGCCCAAACATTGTGCCCGAAGGAGATGTAGAAATTAGAGGTAAGTGGAGGTTTATAATAAATGTGGCCGATCTCAAATAGTTGGGAGAAAAAGAAGAAGAAGAAGATATTATTTTAAACAAATGCTTCAATCAATATAAAGGACGTTGAAGTTTTTATAAATAAAATATACTACATTGATAATTGTAGTTTTTAACATAAAATGAACA